TGGTGGCCTGTGGAGTGAGTGGGCCCAGCTCAGCACCCACCTCCACAGAGTCCTCTCTGTTCCAGAAAGGGAATGGTTTTGGACCCACTAACAGAGGGAAAAAATGCTGTTTCCATTTATAGGCTTATTCATTATAGCCTTTGCTAAGGGTCTGGCATGTCCTTAAAAGTTCCTTCAGAGACTTCCCTAGTGGCCCAGGGGCTAAGACGCCACACTAACAATGCAGGGGGCCCAGGTTCGATCCCTGGTCAGGGAACTAGATCCCACATGTCGCAACTAAGACCCAGCACAGCCAAAAAGATAAATAAAATTTTCCTTCAAAGTAAACAGGAAAGGATTTTATCTAAGAAAAGATCCTCTGAACTCTCCGATGTGACAGTGTTTCAGTGAACAGTTCAGAATGGGCAAGACAGCAAACACGCTCAGCTCCCTGCCTGGGTGGGGCTGGAAAACCTCCCCATGGGCCGTGCCCATCACACCTTTTCTGTTCCTTGGTGCCAGAATGGGATTTGCCAGCACAAGCCAGCACAACAACCCATCAGTTTCCACTCAACTTGTCACTTGACAAGAGTTTCCTTTCAAGTATGGTTTCCTTTCCTAACCCCAGAGTTCACAAAAGCAGCAGCTCCCTGGTGCTCCCCCTCTGGGAGAACCAAGTTCTCATTCTTTTCCCCCATTTTGTGCAGTTCACTGTGCCCTGCTGTAGGACAGTTCCCAGGCTACTTGCCCCTCAGGTTATTTACTCCTCCCTTGCATTATTATTTTCTACTAATAAGAAACCAATAGCCAGCTATGCCTATGGGCACTTCCTGCAGATTTTTTTGTAGGAAAAAGATTGTGCCAGCCCTCTTCCTAGTTCCTCCACCTCCTCCTTGGATGGCTGTTGGTTTAAATTATAAAGAGCACTTTCTAAACATTTCTTCTAAAATGAGTTTTATTATCATCTTTTCTCTGACTTTTCAAAAAAGAAATTTGTTGTGTAAGTTTCCTATTGCTGCTGTAACCAACTTCCACCAACCTAGAAGATTAAAACAACACAAGTTTATCATCTTAAAGTTTTAGATGTCAGAAGTCCAGAACAGATCTCCCTGGGGTAAAATCAGGGTGTCAGCAGGGCTGAATTCCTTTTCCAGAGGCTCCAGGAGAGAACTCGTTCTCTCGCCTCTTCCAAATTCCATGAGTTACTGGCATTTCTGGGCTCCATGCTCCCTTCCATCTTCAATAGATGGTGGAGCCTTTCTCCCAAGACATCTCTCTTCTGTCTTTCTCTTCCGCATTTAGAGACCCCTGTGATGACATTGAGCTTCCCAGGCAGTTCAGCAGTAACAAATTCACCTGCCAATGCAGGAGATACAGGAGACACAGGTTTGATCCCGGGTAGGGAAGATCCCCTGGAGGAGGAAATGGCAACCCATTCCAGTATTCTGTCTAGGAAATCCTATGGACAGAGGAACCTGGTGGGCTACAGTCCATGGGGTTGAAAAGAGTTGGATATGACAGAGGCAACTGATCATGCACGTGATGACATTGGGTCCACTTGGATTATTCCATCAGCTCTCTGCTTCTCCAGGTCAACTGATTAGCAGTGACGACTTCATCTGCAAACTTAATTCCCTTTTGCCATGTAAACTAACATAATCACAGACTAAGGATTAGGATGCGCATATCTCTGGACACACTAATCTTCTACACGTTCATTGTAGAAAATTTAGAAACACAAAAAAAGCATAAAGGAGAATATAGGAACCACTTCTAACCCTAGCGTGCATGGGGCTCAGCTGCTTCAGTCGTGTCTGACTCTTTGTGACCCTACGGATTGTAGCCCACCAGGCTCCTCTGTCCATGGGATTCTCCAGGCAAGAATACTGGAGTGGGTTGCCATGCCCTCCTGCAGGGGATCTTCCCAACTCAGGGATCAAACCTGGGTCTCTTGCATTGCAGGCAAATTCTTTCCCACTCAGCCACCAGGGAAGCTTCCACTTCCCAGAGATAACCACAAACAATTTAGTATGTATTAATTCAATCCTTTGTTAAATGCATATGTTTCTTTTTCTTTGTAAACCAGGTTTGAATAATACCATAACTCTATATATAGATACCTATCTATCTGTATATAAACATGGTGTTTAGTAATTTTCCTTAATAATATGCAGGCATTCTTATGCTATTTACTATTTTGCTACACTTCACTTTTAATGGCTACCTAGCATTCCACTATGTGGAGGCACTATAATGTACTTAACTAATTTAATTAATTGTTTATTGTAGGACACATAATTTATCTCTAACTTTTCTTGGTGCCTAGTAGCCCTGTGCTAAACCTCTCTGAAGCTACATCTTTGTAAACATTCTTAGGATACATTTCCCAAAGGTATCCCAAATACTGGGTGGTCACATCACTGATCCCCCAAAGCAGGACATTTTTAAGAATGAAAAAGGGTAATCTTAAAATTTAACAGTAACTGATAACTCACAATAAGCCCGAAAGGACCTGGGCATGATACATATCACCAAACTGCTTTCACGAAATGTTGCCGTGGTTTATAGACAACCTGTGGGCAGCACCCTAAGAATCCTGCTCTAAGCCCTTATCAAAATTTCCAGGCCTCTCTGTGCCCCCAGTTCCCAGCCTCCATCTTCCTAAAACTGAAAACCACACAGAGGCAAATGTCATCCTCACCCTTGCTGGAGAGGTGGCAATGGCAGGGAGGGGACGGCCACATACTCCTTTGCCCTGGTAGCCAGTGTTTTGACTCTCAGTGAGTCTATTAGAGCTTGTGATCCAGGCCAGACTGGGTTAGCTTCAAGGCAGTAGCGACCAGCCCATCCTCCCTACACACAGCCCCAGGTATAGCCAAAGCTCCTCACAGGGACTTTCCCAGACCCAGGCAGGTGCCCCTTCTGGAGCGCTGTGACAAGACAGTATTGCCTGAGCAAACTGACCTGCCAAACATACGTGAGCAGGAGACACCGACCTTGGAGAGCCGGGAGGAAGAGCTTGGAGCTACAGTCAGCCCAAGTTTCCTAACACTGGGAATGTTACAAGAGCAACTTACACCTTCTCATCAAAGGACTTCTTCTTGGCTAGAACCCTCTGAAACCATCAATTGTCAAGAACACGCCCAAATAAAACAGTCACCAAAACCACAAAAATGAAAAGACTGAATTCACTGTTTCATAACATTCCAGTGGGCCTTTGTTTTGGTTTGGTTATTTTATTTTGTTAGCGGTTATTTGATCTGGCCACCACCAGGCTATAGAACGCTCTCTGGGAACAGACCGGAGCCCCTTGCACAGGATGGTGAATGCAAACGCTGAGAAAAGCTATCAAGTCCTCAGCCTTCTTGTTGCTGGCTTTTCAGACCTTCTGAGTCAAGGAACCTGATTAAATCAGTCACCTCATCTACCCAGAGGCCACTCAGGAAGCTCTTGACTCATTCTTGTTGACTCATGTGCTGGAAAAGCCAATCCAAATGGGCTGTGATAACAATCTAGTTTGGAGCAGTTTTACTTGTAAGCAACTGGCTCCCTGCCTACAGAGACTATAATGCTTCAAAATCAAGAATAAAAACCTAGTTCCCTCCTCCCTACCCCCAAATAATGTTCCAGGTGATATTTTGTAAGCACACCTGCAAACTGTGCCCTGTTAACCTGGAAATAGAGCAAAACACACCTGGACACTGTGTGCCATTTGTGAAACGAGCAAGGGGCAAGAGTAAGCCAGCCTGGAGCACGAACTGGCCAACAAGCAGATCTTGAACTCTTGCGCATTCTCTCCCTCTGAAAGACTGCTTTTTTTTTTCACCTTTGCATTCTTAGTTGGGACATTCAGCTGGAGATCTGTACTGTTTGATAGAAGTAAAGGCAGAGCTGTGGAATCACCACTGGCCACAATTTTGGGGCCAATAATTTGGGGAAAGAAAACACTGAGCCAGACAGCAAAGCATGTTGGATTTCTTACATCAAAAGTCAACTTCTTAAGTCTGGTGGGAGATGGAGGAAGAGTAAGATGTGGAGATCATCTTCCTTCCCCACAAATACAACAGAAATACAGTGCATGTGTAACTGTTCCTACAGAACACCTCCTGAAGGGTGGCAGAAGACCTCAGACTTCCAAAAAGGCAGGCCCACCTCCATATAAAGAAGGCTGAGCACCGAAGAATTGATGCTTTTGAACTGTGGTGTTGGAGAAGACTGTCATTGGACTGCAAGGAGATTAAACCAGTCAATCCTAAAGGAAATTAACCCTGAATATTCACTGGAAGGACTGATGCTAAAGGTGAAGCTACAATACTTTGGCCACCTGATGCGAAGAGCTAACTCATTGGAAAAGACCCTGATGCTGAGAAAGATTGAGGGCAGGAGGAGAAGGGAATGACAGAGAATGAGATGGTTGGATGGCATCACTGACTCAATGGACATGAGTTTAAGCAAACTCCAGGAGATGGTGAAGGACAGAGAAGCCTGACATGCTGCAATCTGTGGGGTCGTAAAGAGTCGGACACACTAAGGGACTGAACAACAATAATCTCTGTATAAAGTGGAAGGGAAACAGCAATAAGAAAAGAAGAGTTAAAAGGAAACCAGATGGGTCCTGTTCCTCGGGAAGGGAGTAGGGAGGGGGAACGTTTCTGCACACTCAGAAACCCCTTCTCTGGCAGGAATGGGGGAGCTCCAGAACCTCAGAGGGGAATGCAACAACAGGTGCTCAGAAGGCAAAACAGAGAATCCACCACAGAGATCATTCCCGACCAGCACTTCCCACCTGAGAAGCAGTTTGCACACCTGCCCAGCAACTGGGGTCTGTGTGCTGAGGCTCAGGCTTCGGAGGTCAGACCCCAGGGAGAAGACCGGGATTGATTGCTGTGAAGATACTCTGAGGGGGCTAGTACACACAGCCAAGGGAGTCCAGGGAAAAGAGACTGGGGCTGCCAGAGCGGCAAGAGACCAGTGTCAGGGGACCTTCTAACTCCAAGGACCCTCTAACTGTGTGCTCCCAGACTGCAGGACCTCACCTTCACAAGGTGGGATGAGCTGGCTGCAGCCTTTGACCCCAGAGGTGGACACACCTCTGGACCTGCTGCTGCCGAGGCTTACATGAGCAGCAGAGGTGAGGGGCCAGTGGACCTGGGGCCTGTGAGCCCAGAGGTGGCCATGAGGGCCCCCACAGCGGCTGCCAAGCTGTGAGCAGGTCACTACCCACACCCTCCTGGGAGCGTAAGCAGGTTGGCTCTCTCTAGCAACCCACAACTCAGAGCCAGTTCCTCTGGGAGAGGGCATGACCCAACTCAGATTGTAGCACCATCCACTAGACCTCTCCCCCTGCAAGCACTCACTGCACATCCCAACTGTGGTTGCCACAACCCTCCCTCTCCCAGCCTGACTGAGCAAGTGAGCCCGAGTAAGCCTCAGCCTTCACCCCATGGGGTCTGGGCAGGGAGCAAATACCAGAGGGTGGCCTACAAGTAGAGGTAGGGCCAAAACCAAAGCAGAGCACCAAAGTCTATGTGACTGAAGAAGAGGAAGGGAAGCCACTCCTACTGCCAGAGAGGCAGCAGATGAAATCCCTGTAGTGAACCTGAGACTGTGGACACTGGGGGCAACTGTGGGCTCTGGGAGCAAGTACAAGCTGGAGCAAGGCCAGGTCTGACCCCACAGCTCCCACAGCAGGTCAGAGACCATCCTAGAAATACTGGAGGACTTCCTGAGAAGGCAGATTGCCTGGAGCACATTGTGTGGGGACAGCTGATGTCACAGGATAATATTCTTCTTACTACCACTCTCTCTATGTACATATTTTTGTTTTTTTATTTTGTTCTATTGTTGTTCCTTTCTTAAAAATAATCCTTTTTATCTTTACTTACTTTTTCCTTTTTTAATGTTTTACTTTTAAATAAATTCACTTCATTTGTTTCCCATTTCTATACCACCTTTTTGTTATATTGCATTTTGTCCATGTTTTTGGTTTTGTATTTTTGCTACTCTAGTTTTTAGTGTTTGTTTTCATTTATAGATTTGTTTATTGATTTGATTGGTCCCTTCTTTTTTGGTTCCTTCTTATTCTTTTCTTGTTTTTTTCTTTGTGTGAGTGTGAGTTTCTTTGTGTGTTCCTGTCTGATTAATGTTGCTTTTACTATTTGTTTTGGGGTTTTGTCTATCTGTTCTTTTTTTGTTTGTAGGTTGGTTTGATTTTTTTCCCTATTTCTTCCTTTCTTTTCCCTCTGCACTGTGAGGCTTGTGGAGTCTTGGTGCTCCAGCAAATGTTCAGGCCTAAACCTCTGAGGTGGTTTCTCAGATCGGCTCTGTTACCTGAATCCAGGGTGCTGAACCACCAGAGAATCTCTGATTGCCTGGAATACAAATTGGTGAGAGCTCTTCCAAAGGCTCAACACTAAGACCTGGCCACACCTAAGGCCAGCAAGGTCCAGTGCCAGACGCCCCATGCCAGACAACTAGCAAAATAGGAAACAGCCCTATCCATTAGCAGACAGGCTGCCCAGTCACACCAAGCTCACAGACACCCCAAAGACACCACTTGGTATGACATTACCCTTTAGAGAGACAAGATATAGCTCCACCCATCAGAACACAGGAACCAGTCCCCGCCAACCAAGAAACCTTCACAAGGTACTGGTCCAATCCCACACAATGGGGACAGACTCCACAAGTAAGAGGAACTATGACCTTGCAGCTTGAGGAAGAAGACCCCAAACACAGTAAATTAAGTAAAATGAAAAGACAGAGAAACATGCAACAGATGATGGAGCATGGTAAAAACCCACCAGACCAAACAAATGAAGGGGAAACAGGCAATCTACCTGAAAAAGAATTCAGAGTAATGATAGTAAAGATGATCCAAATCTTGGAAATAAAATGAAGGCACAGAGAAATAGAATGGAGGCATGGATGAGAAATAGAGAAAAAGAAATAGAGGAAAACAATGGAATGGGTGAGACTAGAGATCTCTTCAGGAAAATTAGAGATACCAAGGGAAATTTTCATGCAAAGATGGGCTCAATAAATGACAAAAATGGTATGGACCTAACAGAAGCAGAAGATATTAAGAAAAGGTAGCAAGAATACACAGTAGAACTATACAAAAAAAGATCTTAATGACCCAGATAACCACGATGGTGTGATCACTCACCTAGAGTCAGACATCCTGGAATGTGAAGTCAAGTGGGCCTTAGGAAGCATCACTATGAATAGAGCAAGTGGAGATGACGGAATTCCAGTTGAGCTATTTCAAATCCTAAAAGATAATGCTGTGAAAGTGCTACACTCAAAATGCCAGCAAATTTGGAAAACTCAGCAGTGGCCACAGGACTGGAAAAGGTCAGTTTTCATTCCAATCCCAAAGAAAGGCAATGCCAAAGAATGGTCAAACTACTGCACAATTGCACTCATCTCACACACTTAGTAAAGTAATGCTCAAAATTCTCCAAGCCAGGCTTCAACAATATGTGAACTGTGAACTTCCAGATGTTCAAGCTGGATTTAGAAAAAGCAGAGGAACCAGAGATTAAATTGCCAACACGTGTTGGATCATCAAAAAAGCAAGAGAGTTCCAGGAAAACTTCTGCTTTATTGACTGTGCCAAAGCCTTTGACTATGTGGATCACAATAAACTGTGGAAAATTCTTAAAGAGATGGGAATACCAGACTATCTGACCTGCCTCCTGAGAAATCTGTATGCAGGTCAGGAAGCAACAGTTAGAACTGGATATGGAAAAACAGACTGGTTCCAAATAGGGAAAGGAGTAATTCAAGGCTATATATTGTCACCTGCTTATTTAACTTATATGCAGAGTACATCATGCAAACTGCTGGACTGGATGAAGCACAAGGTGGAATCAAGATTGCAGGGAGAAATATCAATAACCTCAGATATGCAGATAACACCACCCTTATGGCAGAAAGAGAAGAAGAACTAAAGAGCCTCTTGATGAAAGTGAAAGAGAAGAGTGAAAAAGTTGGCTTAAATCTCAATATTCAGAAAACTAAGATCATAGCATCTGGTCTTATCACTTCATGGCAAATAGATGGGGAAACAGTGACAGACTTTATTTTTCTGGGTTCCAAAATCACTGCAGATGGTGACTGCAGCCATGAAGCTAAAAGACGCTTGCTCCTTGGAAGAAAAATTAAGACCAACCTAGACAGCTTATTAAAAAGCAAAGACATTACTTTGCCAACAAAGGCCCATCTAGTCAAAGCTATGGTTTTTCCAGTAGTCATGTATGGATGTGAAATTTGGACCATAAAGAAAGCTGAGCACTGAAAAATTGATGCTTTTGAACTGTGGTGTTGGAGAAGACTCTTGAGAGTCCCTTGGACTGCAAGGGGATCCAACCAGTCCATCCTAAAGGAAATCAGTTCTGAATATTCATTGGAAGGACTGATGCTGAAACTGAAACTCCAATACTTTGGCCACCTGATGAGAAGAACCGACTCTTTGGAAAAGACCCTGATGCTGGGAAAGATTGAAGGCAGGAGGAGAATTGGATGACAGAGGATGAGATGGTTGGATGACATCACCGACTCAATGGACATGAGTTTGAGTAAAATCCAGGAGTTGGTGATCAACAGGGAGGCCTGGTGTGCTGCAGTCCATGGGGTTGCAAAGAGTCAAACATGACTGAGCAACTGAACTGAACTGATGGATGAGAAGATACAAAAAACACTTAACAAGGACTTATAAGTACCTTGGAGTAGGAAAACGGCAACCCGCCCCAGTATTCTTGCCTGGAAATTTCCATGGACAGAGGAGCCTGGTGGGCTACAGTCCATGGGTCATAAGATTCAGACATGACTGAGTGATTTTCACTTCACTAACAAGGATCTAGACAATCAACAATGAACAGCATAATAGCTGAAATAAAAAATACACTAGAGGGAACCAATAGTAGAATAACTTAGGCAAAAGAACCAATATGTGAACTGGAAGACAGAATGGTGGAAATAACTAAAGCAGAGCAGCACAGAGAAAAAAGAATGAAAAGAAATGAGGACAATCTCAGAAACCTCTGGGATAACATTAAGTGCAGCAATATTTGAATTAAAGGGGTCCCAGAAGAGTAGAAAAAGAAAGGGTATGAGAAAATATTTGAGGAGATTACAGCTGAAAACTTCCCTAGTATGGGAAAAGAAATAACCACCCAAGTCCAGGAAGCCCAGAGAGTGCCATATGGGATAGTGGCTCGGCTGGTAAAGAATCCACCTGCAATGCAGGAGACCTGGGTTCGATCCCTGGGTTGGAAAGAACCCCTGGGGAAGGGAAAGGCTACCCGCTCTAGTATTCTGGCCTAGAGAATTCCATGCACTGTATAGTCCATGGGGTCGCAAAGAGTCAGACATGACTGAACGACTTTCACTTTCACTTTCAAAAAGAAACACATCAAGACACAAATTAATCAAAGTAACAAAAATTAAACACAAAGAAAAAATATTAAAAGCACCAAGGGAAAAGCCACAAGTAACACATAAGGGAATCCCCATAAGGTTAACAGCTGATCTTTCTGCAAAAACTCTGTAGACCGGAAGGGAGTGGCAGGATACACTTAAAGTAATGAAAGGATAACACCTACAGCCAAGATTACTCGACCCAGCAAGGATCTCATTTGGATTTGATGGAGAAATCAAAAGCTTTACAGATAAGCAAAAGTTAAGAGAATTTACAACCACCAAACCAGCTCTACAACAAATGCTAAAAGAACTTCTCTAGACAGGAAACACAAGAGAAAGAAAAGACCTACAAAAACAAACCAAAATCTAAAGTAAATAGTAATAGAATCAGACATATCAACAATTGTGAAAGTGAAAGTTGCTCAGTCATGTCCAACTCTTTATTACCCCATGGACTATACTGTCCATGGAATTCTCCAGGCCAGAATACTGGAGTGGGTAGCCTTTCATTTCTCCAGGGGATCTTTCTGACCCAGGAATCGAACTAGGGTCTCCTGCATTGCAGACAGATTCTTTACCAACTGAGCTATCAGGGAAGCCCTATATCAACAATTACCTTAAATGTAAATGGATTAAATGCTCCAACCAAAAGACGCAGACTGGCTGAATAGATACAAAAACAGGACCTCTATATATGCTGTCTACAAGAGACCCACTTCAGACCTAGGGACACATACAGACTGAAATGAGGGGCTGGAAAAAGATATTTGATGCAAATGAAA